CATTCAATTATTTTTCAAAACTATTATATGTCCAACCATAATCAAAAATATTAGTTACATGTTATTTAATCAGTAAAATTTGACTTCGCAAGTTCTGTCGCGAACAAAAAATTGGCCGCTTCTTCACCAATTTGTTTTTGTTTTCTTTCTTTCACATTCGACTATCACCAAACGCAATCTAAGGCCCAGTCGAGAATACTACAAATATATGGGACAAGAATTGTAACCATCTTTAAATACGAAATAAAACATAGTCTTATTATGTTCACTATCCAGAATTCATAGAAGAAATACAGCTTTTTACCATGGCCTAAGGATGAAGTATGAAAAGGAAGTAACTGGGGTTATCCAGTGAAATTCTCTTGCTCTTGCGCTTGCTGGGTTTGATCTTGAGAAGCTATTTGAGGTACACGAGGCTTAGGGAACAAGAGCTTTAGCCGAAAAGCATCCATCCCATTCAAGTAATAGTGGTATAACCGTTTCGCTCTTATGAACCCGAGTCGCCCATATAGAGCTAATGCTCCTTTGTTACTCACTTCCGCCTCCAGAGTTACCTTCAAGCATATGATATTTTCATTAGTTTAGAACGCGTAATCACACAAACAATAATCTCATCTTGTAATCAGACTTGAATATGAGGAGCTTACAGCTCAAATTCCACTCAAAGAGATCCTTTTCGCAATCTAGACTTACTACTCAAAATCACAGTCAAGAGATCTCAGATACAACAGCAAATCACTTGTCAAATATTCAATTACTAAGTTACATAACTATCAATTGCATAAGACCATTAAGAAGTCAAGGACTGCATACAAGACTAATAACATATGTATACTAAGTGAGAAATTTAGGAATACGATTAGCTAGACCATGAAATGTAGCCAACCGGGCTCAACCACGCATAGTGCATGTTGTTGGCAACAAAAAAAAACAAAAGGAATACAATAAACTACTCCTCTAGTCAGGGACTCCATACAAGACTTATAACAATCAGTGATCTACAATTTTTTTTTATATCTAAACAATGGAAGGCAATAGGTAGACTTGTAATGATTTAATGCAGCTAAGATCACCTTCATGTCTGAAATTCTATTCTATTGTGATCAAAGGGAAGTCAAAGTTTGTGGACCTGCAATGGAACCAAACCATAACCTTCTCAGAAAATATCTTATCTACAATTCTACTACCAGGTTAAGATATCATCACTTTACCGCCCGACCAAATATCTAAAGTTCTAACGAGAGCAGAATAAATATAGGAGTGAAAAATGCAAAAGCAGCATACCTCTTCACAGCCTGATTCCATCATCACTTTTATCGATCTTGTTACAAGCTCCGTGGCTGTAAAAACACAACAAAAACAAACTTAGGAGAGTTATCACTATTCACTTATCACTATTCCCACATTCAAATCTGATTCCATAAGAAAGTTAGGGAGCAATAGCTCGAAAGTTACCTAGGCCTCGGCCACGAAATGGTTTGATCACGACTAACATAGCGATGTACCCTCTGTAAGTCTGTCGATGCTCCCCCATCTTACAGACTACAGTCCCTACGCATCTACCTTTATGAAACGCCTTTTCAAGAAAAGAAACAAGCCCTACTCATCAATCCTTTTATGTTATAAATATTACGAGAGAAAAATAACAGTAATCGAAAGCGGAGTATCAAAATACCAGGAAGCAGAGCTGTGGCCAGAGGTAGACGAAATACCGGTAAGTGAAGATGGAGTACGGTTCACTAAGTTCTTGATCGACAAGAGACATAATCAATGGTAAGTGATGCTCGCCGGCGTAACTAGTGTACTCAATCTCAGCCTCATCAAATTCCTCTTTATCTTCCATACTTTCTGTATTCCAATGAAACAAGGATGCAAAATTTAAGTGTTTTGCATCTTCTTCTTACAGGACACTTACTGCAAAGTTAAACAGAGAAGATAAAGCTTAAAATTTGAGAACAGTGGGAATTGAATCTAGGATTCAGATTGAGTTGGTTGTTTCAAAATTGGTAATTTTTGGTA